GGGCGGGGAGCCTGCCCCGGCCGCCCACGGAGCCCCCGGCGCTTGTCTCCGCGCAGAAGTTCCTGCTGCACCGGCTCTTCTTCGTGGCCAGGCTGCCCGAGGGCGCTGACAGCGGCGAAGTCACAGGTACACGCGCCGTTGCCGCGCATGCGCGGGGCTGCCCCGGCCCCTCGCGGCCGTTACCGCGCACGCACAGAGCTGCGCGGATCTCAACCGTCCCCTCAAAGCCAGTTGTGGTGCATGCGCTAAGCGGGCCGGCTCCCTCGCTGCTGCTACTGCGCATGCACCCAGCAGCTCGGCCCCAACTGTTTCCCTCGCTTCCTATGCTGCGTATGCGCCACGCTGCCCAGCGCCTACCCTTCTTTCACTGTCGCATTGCGCATGCGCTTGGCTGCCCACGTGCTGGCAGCAGGTCCGGGTGCTCTCCTGGCAGCGCGAGGCTGGCGCATGCGGGGGTCGCGCCCGCTCAGTTTGTCGTCGAAGGCGTCGAGGTGGAGCAGCAAGAGCCCCCTGTGCAAGGGGACAGCTCGAGGAGGCCACCACGAGCTGGGCAGCAGTGCCGGGTCTTGCACCCAGAGCTTGCAGAGGAGTGGGGCAGAAGCCACGCGACAAGCCCCCCTGGTTGCATGCAGGCCTGGGGGCACGGCTGAAGACCCTGGTTGGTTCGCTGCACGAACGCGAGCTGGTGGGGCAGGAGCGGCTGCGCTTCCTTTTGCTCACTCGCCACGGCGCTGGGCACCGTTCCCTCCCCTCGGCCACGCGGATGTGTTTTTTATAGTCCTCTGGTGGCACAATCTAGTGCACCCTCCACGTTTGTGCCTGGGCAGTGATGTCCAATACTAGGAACCACAGCAGTGCAGTAGCCTTAGTTGGTGCTGCCTCTGTAGGGGCAGTGCCCACAGGTCAGTACATGTGCTCGGTCGGTCATGTGATTAGAGTCTGGTGAATGCTTTGCTGGAGGAGCAGAGGTGCTGCACCAGCTGGCTCCAACAACAGGCAGGGGCAAGGATTCTTCTCCCAGCGTTTCATAAGCACACTCAGCTCTACAGGACCTTGAGTGCTTCACCATTAAAGCCCACTAGCTACACAGCTAAGTATTAAGCTCATGAGATAAAGGGAGTTTGGGGCCATCTGTATGCTCTGGACAGTGAGAACAAAGTGTTTTTGGTGCACTGTGCTACGAACAAGCCTGATGCTGACTGCCTTTCTCAGGCTGAGATAAGTTCCCAGAGGATAACCATTTATCCAGTCTTTGCTTTTCAAATAAGGTTACCATGAAAGGCTGTTTCAGAACATATTGAAATACCACCTTGGAGAGCCCGTCTCAGGTCTGCTGCTGCTTTACCCCAACTCCATTCTTCATATTGTAGAGGTAGGTTAAGTAGATCTCAGTGTTACTATATTCTGCAGCTTCTGAGTCCACGCCAGGATTGAAATACAAGGCCTGAGGCCTTTCAGTGGATGCAGTGGTGTTAGCGACCAGAACACCAAGGACCATCCCATTCCACTCAAGCAATTACCCTGGTTTGTGAGCCTGCCTTCGGAGGCTGGGCATGTCCTGTCTGGAGTCCAGGGGAATGATCTCCTCACCAAAGGCTGAGCTCAGCACCCACCTTTGGGTGGGAGCTGGAGGGGATTCCAGTCATACACCAGTGAGAGCTGACCAGTTGTTTTATACACTTTCGTCATTTGGGCCTAGTTTGTAACAGCTCCGTCTTCCCTTGCAGTCCTCCAGTGGCACAATCTATCGTATTCTCCACGATCTAGCTTCTCTCCAAAGTCAAGGTCCTAGGTAAGTGTTTCCTAATGGACAGGGTGCTTCCTCTAGGGATAACATGAGCTTCTGGTATGATTACAATAAAACTTGACCCAGTCAGTGTTTCTTTCTGGCAAAGGCCTGGAGACCATGATATCCATGAAATCGGCCTCTAAGCCCACAGCACTTTCCTCATTAAAGTCAAACATCTCTATTTAACCCCCTTTCACCCTTCTGGTGCCCCATGCTCCTTTTCTCATTCTCTTTGCCACATGGAGAAACTAGGAGGATGACATTTAGACAACTGGCAAGCCCCTTGGACTTGCTGTCTCCAGTATGCCTTGGATTTTAATTTTTAAGCAGAAGCCTTCATAATTCAGAGAACAGCAAGTCCAAGTCCTAATGTGATTTCAGTGCAATTTCTGTATCTTGCTTCAAAAAGAAGGTAATGGGTAAAATGGGGGGGGGAGGGCAGCAGATTGATGTGGTGAGGAAAATCACCTCTCTGAGGCTTCTGCTTTCATTTTGTAACTAGCTCCCATCACACATCTGTACATGCTCCTTGTTCTACTGATACACAATATTGTATTTTCCAAGTCCTAGCTTCCTTCCAAAATGAAGAGTAACATGTAATTACCCTCCTAAGCATCAGATTAAGTTGTGATGGGGTAAGGAAATCAGGTTTTCAGTTGCTAGATCCAAAACAGAGATGGGGAAAGTACCATAATATGAGCAGTAAGTTTCCCCGAACACATGGTAGGTAACACCTCATTGCGCAGAATAATCAGACTAATGCTTTACCATCAGTGCTTTGCTACAGGAAATTAAGATTTTAGTGGTGTCACATAACATCCCAACCAAGCTGTTCCTGCAGTGGTATGTCACTATGGTGACTCTGCCTGTGACATACCTGGAAGATGTGACACAATCACAGTCTACAGAAGAGGTTGTCACCGAGTGCTTTACTCTCCTGCTGAAACTGGGTGCCTACATTTCAAAGACATTTAAGGTGACATTTAAATGGATCTAAAGGGTAAAACTAAAGGCAGAGGTATGAGGCTTTTTTTAAGCAAGCTTCCTTTTAGCAAACTTGCATTAATGGATGCCAACGGGTACTGGCTCTTGCATTTAGTGACAGAATCTAGCAGCTGTATAGGGATGGAGACATGAAGGCCTGTGACATCTGTTTTTAAACTCTTCCAGACTACATTACCTGGGTGTTGAAATAAGTTATATCTTGTAGTCCATCAAGTAATATATTAACTTGAGTCAAAGACCCTAGACATTTTTCTCCTGAACTTAATGACTTAATTGGCCATTTATAGAGTTGTCAATCAGTCCATTCTAATGTGCACATCCCTATTAAAGGGTAAACAGAGAGGGGCAATAAAGCTTGGTGCACTGTGCTGGGCACATTGCTGGGTAGCGTCAGGCAGTATTTTTCTACTAATGCTGAACATGACCCTGAAGTATTGTCTCTTTACCATGAAGGTTAGCAGCAAGGCATTGGGCAACAACCTACACACACTTGTACCCAACCTCCTAATCCCAGCAGAGACCATTAACTATTTGTGTAATGCCAAGGACTGTCTGAGTCCAGAGGAGTTCCTGAAAATGTATAAGGGCCCTTTACAGCCAGCCATGGACTCAGGTACATTATCACTGCAGTTAAGAGTAGAAGCAACTTATCTGTGGCAACAGGATAGCATTTATCTACTGAGCCAAAGTACAGGGTTGAATGTCCAGGAAGAGTATACAATAAAAGTTAAAGAATCTTCCAGTATTTGACTCAGTAACCAGAGTCTCTCAGCTGGCTATTCCCCCCCACCCCCCCAGTAGTGGCTGGGGCAAGTTATCATCATCCTTTTAAACAGCTCCTCTGCAGCCATGGCCCTTGTCCTGTAGGTACAAAAATGACATAGTCCCTCTGGCACGAGAGGAATGCAGGTTTATGCCCATTACAGAAAGGGCCTTGAGCCTCTCTTTGTGCCACCAGCCCGCTCAGGCTGAGCAGAGGCGGATGTGCCCCTGAAGGTGCTCTGAACACAATGTGGTTTCAGCCTCCCGTGCACACATGAAGCACCAGCTGTGTAAGGGGCCAAGGACCATGGCACATCCCATTTCTTTCAGGCGAGCTTGCTGTTTTGACTAAGACAGCTAGGTAGATAGCTGGAAGAGTTCAGCTTTAGAGGGATCACTCAGCTTCTTGGGGGAATACTGGCTTGCTTTTTTAAGTGCTTCAGCTTTCATTTTCCCCTCTCACAGAAACCGTGTGGCCTACCCCTGGTCATCTGTTTGCCTAGACACATCAGACCCTATCCAAAGCATTCTTCCTTAGCATTTGAGCATGTAGTCATAGGGCAAACAGCAGAGAAACAAAAGGAGCACAGAAGAACACAGAGCTAGCGTGGAGATCGGACACATGGTAGAAGAGGGGTAGTCATTAGCCCCCTGGTATTGGCATGGAAATACATGGGAAGGAGTCAGAAGGCCTTCAGTGCAAGTCACCTGTTGATCATCTGCCAAACTGTACGCAAATAAAGAGACACTTTTAAACAACGTCGTGGAATTAGTGACCCTTTGTGCAGGAGTTATGCCAAGGTGGAATCTAGCTCTGAATCTTACACTTGGATGACATGAGTCACTATATTCAGGAACAGTTGCTATCTTCATGCCGAGCACATGAAAAATGCAAACACAGCTCCCAGTCTTAATTCCATGCAGATTAGTGTGCACCAGGGTTCAAAGGCAGCAGTGGAGCAGCAGAAATCCTGCTTTCTGGAGGCAATGACAGGGAGAGGTTTTTTGGGGAGTAGAAAAAGCAAACCTTCCAGTGACAAAAAGAAAGGATTCTTTAATTTTATAAAGGTTCACCCAACCGATGAATCTGAACACGTTCAAAATGCTTCCACAATTCAACCGATTTAGAAAGAAAGCAAAAACAGTTCCACAGTTTCACCTTGAACCAAGGTTATGAAATTTCACATAAAAAGTAGGTATGGTTAATACAAATAACTAGGAAACAAGGATAATGATCAGTACTTAAGGTAGCAATGAAATGATTAACAATACAGTAAGTTTCCTTCTACAGTATGACAGTCCTTCAAGGCACTAGAATACATCCACAGTTTTGACAGGTGACCGATAACCAGCAGTCACCACCAGCATTCTGGCTTTTTTGGTTCATACTTAGCAAAGAGTCTGCAGCAAATCAGTGAGGGGGAATGTCTCTGGCAAGGCATCTCCGTTTTAATACCATGTCTAAGGACTAGGGATAAAAATCTAAACCGTGACAAAATAAGTAGGTTATTTCCATAATACATGCACTTTAAATAGTAGCTAATGACTGCTCTTTATTCTTTTGGAACTTCTGCTAATGCCAACTGTATTAGCAGCGATTAAGCTTCCTATGCAAGTCTCTGCAGTAATCTGCTCTTTCCATCCTGATTTTGGAAGCCAGCATCGAGACACAGATCATTAAACTTCTTCTGGATGGCTGTTACCTTCTCGATAACACTGAAGTGGAAGCTTTGTTCAGTTCCACCACGTCTTCAAAAAAAGCTTTTCCCTGTTAGGCCTCGACTCACTGGCTTCTCACCAGGGCAGAAGGGGCTGAAAGTTTGTCTCCTTTACAGAGCCGTGCTTTCCGTGTCGTTGTCTATGTCCAGCATGAGATGGTTTTGCAGTTCCTTGCCCGCGGACTCTGCAGGAAGCTCTGAAGAGGGGCCTCGAAGTGGTTCGTGAGCACTGGAGTTGGAGTCTGCGGGGGCAAAACATGGGGGAAAAGCATCAAAATTGAGCAGCATGTGGACAGTGGCATTTTAACCACTCTTAGATTGCTAGTAGCACTTAAAAAAAAAAAAAGGGGGGGGGGGAATGAACAGA